TTCGACTACTTCCCAATTAAGCAAGTATCTGCCCTCGAGGTAGGTTGGTTTGACCTCGACTAACGAATCAAAGTTCTTTAAACAACACCATAACCAGCATGCGACCCGAAATAAGGAAAAGAAAAATTTACTTCAACTGATTTAACGTTTTCTGCCGGTAAACCATGAGACACAAAAGTTTCCATAAAAAGAAGAGAGACATAGTAACAGTTACCAAAAAGATGAAAATAATTAATAATCAGTCAAACTAGAATCGGAATTGAAATGTAGATACCTTGCCGCTACTATGTAATTAGACCAAAATTTAGTTAGACTACTTCGAAGTTGTCCCTACCGCTCTTCTATGTCGATATTCATTGACAGCTGTACAAATTTAATTAACTGCATTTATGTATCTTATAGTAAGAATATGGAAAGATAGGCACCAAAAACAAGAAAACGTACAGCAGCCTCTTTTGCAACACTCACATAAGCACAAAAAGACTGTACCTATTTCTTTTTAGTTAACGAAAGAACGAGCTTTGAGACAAGATATCAGAAATCTGACCAGTTGTATTTTGCGCAACAACGGATGTGAAATGGCACATGTCAAGATACAAACTTTTCACTTTACCTAGAATTATGTTTCTGCATGGAAATGCCGTACAAAGGAGAGCAGTCGAACATCACAGGCGTCGAAGTAGGATTTCGACTCTTCATCTCTTCTTGGCCGTTTCTGGCACCGATTGGAGTTGAAGTTTTGTGTTCCAACTGTAAATTTCGCAGTAAGGACGAAAAGGCATCACCAGGTGGAGGTTGCTTGTCCCGTGACAAAAGAGAAACATCCGACAGAGTCTTCGAGATGGAAGTGCGAGACTCAAACTTACCACCGGAGGATTTAAACGATGCACCACTACAGAAACTCCTTCCGCACATCGCCATTCCTTCCAGTGACGTATGCAGGAGGCTTGCCCCAAGGCCACAATCACTATGAGATTTGCGAAGCTTTGGATAAACCTCACATCTACGTGAAGGAGCAATACAGACAGCTGGAAATGAACTCTGAACCGAATACAATGGCTCATATGTGTGAAGCATGTCAAGCGATGCAACAATATCACAAAACACCGCCTCTTACACCCAATTCGCAATTTCAGAACAGCCGTATGATTCGATCGATATTCGTGACTACCGGCATTTGAAAACGCGCGGTAACACGACATTCAAGTTTCAATACTGCCTTACAGTTGATTAAGATTACTGACCCCCTTTGTTTTAGCCATTCTTATCACAGAATATCAGTTGAACATAGATCATGTTCGACTCGAAACCTCGGAGTTTTGTTTAATAACATTATTTGTTAAGTGAACACTTTCAAAATTCTCTACTTGAAGAACTTTCTAACTGCATAAAGAATCTAAATTATCTCTATAAAGCTTCATCAATCTTTAGGAATTTTATTAAAGGCAAAATTTAAAGCGAAATCGCTTTTACATCTGCCTTAAGACAAAGCAGTAACGCCAGATTTTTCATTCTTTCATAAAAGAAAGAAAAGTCAAATAATCAGAATTAGGGAGCCGCTACTTTTCAAAAATTTATCCTCATTTGTTTTGTCACTTCACGAAATGAATATGCATAATTTATCATTATCATCTTTTTCTTCTTCTTCTTGGCCGCTTCTCCTTTCAGGTCGCGGGCATAATTTATATAAAACAAATAAAAGTCGACAAAAAATTCAGAAAGTTCTATTGTTTGTGGTTATGCCTGATTTATTATCAATTAGCGCTTTATTACATGCTATCAAAAGCATACCCGCAATTTTGAAAGATATCATTATCCAATCAAATATACATAACTTCTCAAAAATGCTGCTTCGAATATCACTGCGAAAATTAAATGCTATCTACTGCCTAGCCTTTGGACCCAACGGCTAGAATTCCTCATTTTCTTCTTCATCTTTTCTTTTCTTAGGATCGTTTATCTTTTTCGGTACCGCAGGCAGACGCGACAGCGCTTCAAATGCTCCCTATTCTTGCCAGAGTCTGAACTTCAGCAGAAGACGACTAGAGTCTGGAACAGACGCCGTCCAGGTATTTGCACCACGTTAATGTTGAATCTTCGCAGTCCCTGGACCATCTGCCGGTCTGTTGGGCAAGAAACAGTTCTCTAGCCTTCATTTCCCGATGCATTCGAAACACATGCCCAAACCATCGTGATTTCTTTGTCTGAAGATGCAGCAGCTGTACACCAAAACTCTCGCGGATATGTCTATTCCAGATCAGATCGAGACGCGTCCGGCCAGCAACTCGCCGCAGAAAGCCCATTTCAGCGGCTTGTATCAGGTTTGAAGCATTTCAATCATGGTCCACGACACATGATTGTAGGCACGCATTGGGATGAGGAACGAATTGAATACCCAGAGCTGAGTTCTCACACTCAGCTCTGCATTACTGACAATGGCTCGGGTTAGTTCCCGTAAACCGCCACTGGCTACTCCCATGCGCCATCTCTTCAAGTTTTCCATCACTAGTAACTGCGACTCTGAGGTTCTTGTACTTTTGCGCTTCTACACTTCCGCTGCCGCTCTGTTAATCTGAAGAGAGCAACGGGCAGCAGAGCATGAAAGCACACAGCTTTTCGTTTCAGATGCGCTTACAGGAAAGCCGATGACGTCGTAATCGGAAGCGAACCTTTTCAGGGAGCAGTGAAGATCAGTTTCAGAAGAAACGAATTAAACAATGTTGTCCCAAGACAGCAGCTTTTTCGGATCCACCTCTCCTACATCAAAACACTGATCGAATTGGCCGCTCTTGACTATTTTATCCAGGTATAAGACAAGCAAGAGAGAGTTCAGGACGCAGCCTTGACGGTAACCGGTGACTTCAACTTAACACCATTAACTCTAACGAAAGACTTCAACTGATGAAAGACGTCTGATGAAAGACTTCAACTTAACACCATTAACTCTGACGCAGCACCTGCTACCACAATGCAGCGACTGGGTAGCCTTGAACAGCTAGCCATCTCTCCCTTATAGCCGAAAGCATGACCACAGACTGTTACGTGAGATCCGGTCATAGGCTATTTCTAGGTCAACAAAACACCTAAATCGGAGGGGCGTACTCCCACGATTTCTCAACAATCTGGCGCAGGGCAAATATATGGTCAGAGGCGCTTCGAATGGGCCGGAAGCCACACTGCTTTTCTTGTATCTTCAGGTCAGTTATATCGCGGCACCTTCTTTCTAGCACTTTGTTTGCAGTTTGCTTCGGAGATTCATTAACGTAATGCCCGTTAATTGGAGCACTTCCAGTTGTCTCTGTCCTTAAATATGGGTGCAATAGCTCCGGTTCTCCAGTCTGCTGGTGTTATCTCTGTAGTCACCGCAGTTTGACAGACATGAGTAAGGAAGCGCATGTCTCATTTGACTAATGCTTTGATCACTAAACGGCGGATTTCATCATTTCCAGCGGCTTTTACATTATTAAATCTTTTGACACTTTGTGAAGTTTCATCTACAAAGATAGGAACATTCGTTCCCTACTGCTCCACAGGTGAATCTTTTTACGGTTAGGATTAAGGAATTGCTGAAACTATTTTATCCATCGCGGAAGAAAGCCATTATCCCCAGCAAGAGGGCGTCCATAACAGTCCTTCAAGACAATAATAATGCCTTTCTTTTTACCTGAGAGCCGGCGATTGGTTTGACAGGATAGATTGTTTGCCGTGTGAAAATTTCACTGTAATACCTCACCGGGCTTCTCCAATGAATCAGCTATGGCTTTCGCTACTGCTTTCGCTGCCGCCTTGCGTGCCTCGACATATCGCACGCCAAGAGAAAGCGCCTTGTTTCCAAACCATTTCTCGAATGCACCCTTCTTCTCGTTAGCCGCCAGCTATACATCTCATGTCCATCAGGAAGATCTCTTCTGACCTCCAGTCGGCTGGGGAACCCGTTTAAATCCGCAGCATTCTGTTGCAGCCTCGAGTATGCCGCTCTTACAGTGCTGCCACTCGGTTTCAACATCAGCTGCCATTACCGGGATCTGTTCAAACCGTCGTGCAATGTTGTTTGCAAATTTCGCTCTTGTGTCCACCGGAGATAATATTTCCCATTTGATTCTCCGTTTGCTTTTGCCACCAGAACTTCGTGTGGTACTCCCTCTCTTAGAGCGTAGCGTGCGAACAGCAAAGTGGTGGTCAGTTGAGATCTCTGCGCCTCTGTTAACGCGGGAGCATCGTGAGCCAAACGATATGATTATCAAATCGATCACCGACTTCAGTGCATGCGCTCCCCAGCGTAAAGTTTACTAATGCACTCTTCGATGCTCGAAGATGGTGTTCATAATTGACAGCCCAGTGTTTGCGCAAAGCGCAACCATTTGATGCAGTTATTCGTGAGGCCGCTAGGGCCGTTTTTTCCAGTCATGCTTTGCCACTTTTCAGCATCTTCTCCGACATCATTATCATCATCATTTTCCATCGCCGCTTCTCTTTTCGGGTCGCAGAGGCAGACGCGTCAGAGAGCGCTTCCAACGTTCCCAATCTTGTGCCAGAGTCT